CGTTACTTAAACATGTATTTAGACGTAAATACAGATACTTTAGAACACGAAAAGTGATAGTACATGCTTAGAGGTTCTTAGGCGAAAAATGTATGGGTGCTGAACATTGTCCTTTGTGGTGGATTTCTTAAATATTTTTCGTAAAAATAAATACAATTTTTTCGTCTTATAACATTGTTTTATTGCACCAGAGATCTTGAATAAACAAGTGAGACGATCTCGATGTGGATATGTTATTCCCATGACCTTCCGGCTTCATCATCAGCCCTGCGATTCTGTAAAAATCCAGACCCGAATTCGAATTCACTCATGTGTCCGAATTCACGTCATTTAGTGTAAAAATTCTATTGATTCCATTTTTTTTGTATAAAAATACAAAACAAAATTGATTGAATACACGTGTCTCAGATATTCTATTCCTGTATTATTTCGAAACTCACTTCACTTATGCTACGAAACGTTATTACCAATTCAAGGTTGAGTGTATGCCTCTTTTTGAAGTCAATTCGGACACCTGAGAGAATTCGAATTCGGGTTTGGAGTTTTACAGAATCGCAGGGCAGATCAGCGCTATTCCATATAAGTATTTGTTACTCATCCAAGTGTTTTCCATTTCCTAATCAGCCATCGGCTCATTCATAATCGGATGCATTAGTCTCTTGTGTTGGGTCTGGGTGGGTGAATTGTGTAAATGAGAGTTGTATAGTCAAGTGTCTCGATGTCTTGTATATTACTTGGTACTTGTCCTCTAATTTTGTGTAACATAAATTTAGCTTCCTTATTATAAAAATGCAGGAGGTTATTTTGAATTCACTATGTGGTTATGATAGAATAACAGAGGCTGTGGGTGCACTCACCGTCACTGAGCCATAAACCGTTTTGTCTCATTTTCTATTACTTTAGATTTAAAACTATATTAATTATGTAAAGGTATCTGAGATGAATAAATGATTTTATTATTATTATGTTTATATTTATAATTTACTAATTTATTATTTTTATTATTACTACAAGATTTTCATCAGGTGTTCGAGCGCCTGCAGAGAGATAGTGTAAAAACTCGAAACCAAATTCAAATTCGCTCACGTCTCCGAAGTCACGTCATTTAGCGTAGAAAATCTATGAATTCCATTTTTATAATAAAATATAAAACAAAATTGATTGAATCATACGCGTCTCAGATATTCTATTCTTATGTCATTTCGAAACTCACTTCACTTATGCCACGAAACGTTATTGCTTTTGAAGTGAATTCAGATACCTGAGTGAATTCGAATTCTTGCTCGGATTTATACAGAATAGCAGCGCTGACCTCCGCGCTGTGTACTGAGTGATCGGCGATCAGTGAGTATTTGTCTTTTTTGTCGTCTTCATAGAATTAAGTTATGGCGATAGAATCATGAATGACTTCACTAGATGGTGTCCAGGGGAGAATTAGCGCCAATCGCGACACTATCATATGCTGACCAGAGGGCCAATTCTATTAAAGAAATTTTGTTTAAATCGAATCGAAAACGGATCGAAACCGAACGAAACTACAGTTTTTAATGGTTTTTCTATTCTACTAAATGACATAAGATACAATTCCAGCTAAAATAGAACTGTAATTGTGACCTATGTCACTTATAGAATAGGAAAACCATTAAAAACTGTAGTTTCGTTCAGTTTCGATCCGTTTTCGGTTCGATTTAAACAAAATTTATTTAGTAGAATTGACTCCCTGGTACCACTTTGTGTGAAATCTTTATCAGTCCTGTTTATTGTATATATATACATCAGAATGATTGCTAAAAACGGGATGTACTTTATATTTTATGAGTACCCATATTCACAGAGTAACTGACGTTTGTGCGGATGCGGGTGGGAATGAAAGAAGTACCGCCATCGATATATCTGCCAATGTCCGTGTAAATTTAAACATCTATATGTCGCAATTAACTATTGTAGAAAAAAATTCCGAAATCGTAGTAAATATACGCGAAGGATAACGTCGTTGACGTCTGAATCGCGGTACATCTTGTATAACCCTAACAGATCATAGCAAGGAATTTTAATGACCTTTGTTTAGCCGTATGGTAGAACTAATTGGCTGATCGAAAATATTTAAATGGCGCCAATCAATTACAGGGCTATAGGTCTACTGATTATACCAATGGATCGTAATATAAACAATGGCACATCAGAATATAAAATAATTTAAAGAAAAACAAAAATAAATAAACAAAAACAAAAGTAAAAATGAATTTAAAAAAATACATGAAAGAATTAACTTAAATAAAAACTAAAAAGAAAGTATTTATGTTAATTCTTTCATGTATTTTTTTAAATTCGTTTTTACGCAGTCGGGATTTTTGTTTTTATTTAAATTATTTATTGTCATTTTATACTTTTTAGTTACGATTCGTTGACTTCGTAATAAGATGGTAAATTTCGCAATCTAGTCATTTCATTGAGGGCGTTAATATCGTGAGGATTATTAAGTAACTTGCGGTGGTCTAAACTACTGATGATTAGTCCCTCTAGAGACCTAACTCGGCTCAAAGCTACTATATGTTTTATTTTTTTACCAAAAATATTTGTTCTTCATGCATTTTCACTGTTTTTTTTTTGTTTGTATATCGTTTATACTTTAAATAAAAACTTCAATCAATAAGTAAGATTATTAGCGAGAATGTTTTGTGAAACTTTAAATCGTTATATATCCTAAACTATTATTTAAAATGAAAAATGATAAAAGGAACCTAAAGATGATTTTAAAATACCTATTCAACGACACCCCACTTGGCATATTTCATGGATTTTTTTTTTCATTACAACAATATGGCGTCTGGATGTCGCTGTGGTGAATTTCGATTACTGTCATGTCTTTAGTGACACTCGCAAGGTTAAGACGAATCGATTGACGTAAGAATCATCAAAATCGGCCTACGCATTTGGTCTCTAGAACGCCACATAGATACAAACATACATACATACACACATAGACTGATAAACACATTACCCATCTTTGCGTCGCGCAGTCGGGTAACAAACTTTACCTCATGACCGATATACATATTCTCTATCGGTCACGAGTTATCGATACCTACTCGGTATCGAGCGAAATGTATCGATACTTACTTGTATCGAAAAGTTTTAAAATGCCTCACTATCGTCGTCGCCGTCATTTTTATAGCAGATTTGATACTATTAATAACCAGTAGCATTACTCTGTCTATGAAAGAGGGTAAACTAATTCAGAATAAAATTTCAGTTTTTTAATATGTTAATTAAAAGGAACGGAAATGACTGTCTTTGGTCCGTTCGTTTCCTGCAAAAATCAACTTTTGCTAGAGTCGCCATCTAGTGGAGGTGTTTTTTTAGTGCTTTCCTTTTAGTACTTGTATTTACTCGTATCATTTCGACCCTGCATCACTTCTCGAGCTTCTTATGATAGCAGGGGTATCTGTGCTTAGAGAACTAAAGAAGTTATTTAATACCGTCATAACCAATGGGACTACCCCGGAGGCGTGGAGCAGAGGTGTGATGGCTCAGCTTTTCAAGAAAGGAGATAAATATCTCTTGAAGAACTATAGACCGATCACACTTCTGAGACACATTTATAAGTTGTTCTCGAGAGTCGTCACAAATCGTCTTGCTGCAAGATTAGACGCCTTCCAGCCACCGGAACAGGCTGGGTTTCGGAATGGCTACAGTACCGTAGACCACATACACACAGTAAGCCAAGTTATACAGAAGTCTGAGGAGTATAACCAACCGCTGTGCTTGGCTTTTGTGGACTACGAGAAGGCTTTCGACTCCATCGAGACCTGGGCTGTTCTGGAATCCCTGCAGCGATGCCAAGTCGACTGGCGATATGTAGAGGTATTGAAAAGCCTATACAATACAGCATCAATTTCAATACAAGTACAAATCCGCCAAACAAGACTCATTCAGTTGCAGAGGTGTGAGACAGGGGGATGTTATTTCCCCGAAACTGTTCTCTAACGCACTGGAGGATGTCTTCAAGACCCTGAAGTGGAAAGGATTTGGCATGAATTTAAACGGTGAATTTAAATTTAAATAGCTCATGCATCTACGCCATGCTGATATTATAATTATGGCAGAATCGCTGTAGGATCTGCAAAAAATGCTGCACAGTCTTAATGCTGCGTCGAGACGTGTGGGTCTCGGGTTAAATTTGGAAAAAACTAAAATAATGTTCAACACACAAGTCATCCCACAACCCGTTTTCGTCGATGGTGTATCGCTCGAAGTTGTCCAGGAATACATCTACCTTGGACAAATACTGCGGTTGGGGAGAGACAATTCCGAGCGAGAAATCAGCAGGAGAGTGCAGCTGGGTTGGGCAGCATTTGGGAAGCTGCGTAATATATTTTCGTCCACACTGACACAATGCCTAAGGACCCGAGTATCCAACCAATGCATCCTAGTAGTCAAGACCTATGGGGTATGGATGTTATCCAGAAATGTAGCAAGCTGAAGTGGCAATGTGCTGGCCACATCTGTCGCAGAACTGACGAAAGGTGGAGCAGACGGGTTCTCGAATGGAGACCCCCGACAAGATGGACTGACGACCTCAAAAAGGTGGCCGGCAGTGGCTGGATGAAGAAAGCGGGAGATCGTGTTTTGTGGCGCATTTTGGGTTAGGCCTACGTTCAGCAGTGGACTGCTACACGCTGATATGATGATGATAACTTCGTCCCTATTAGGACTTAAGGTCTCGTTCTGGACTCCCGCGGCAGCGTTGGCCGGTGGTGACCGCGGTCAGACCGCTCATTTCAATTTGTATGTTTAATACATTTATATTTATCAATTATACAAATTTAAATGTGTATTACGTTTTGAAATAATTTAAAAATTTATTAGACAACAGCTGTAATAACTCAGTCGCGCATTCTCAGACTCAGAGCTGCAGCCGCGTGTCCTCGTCCCAAATCGGCGTGTTTCTTATCATCATAACGTAAAGTCCCATAGAATCGGCGCCGCTCGCGCGCGTCTCACGTGTCGTAGTGCGGCGGGTGGTGGGGGTGGGGGGCGTAGTACCGGCGCGGGTCGTGCTGCTGCTGCAGGTACTGCGTGCACACGCCGCCGTACAGCTGCGTCAGCACGTGGTAGCCCCCCGCGCCCCCCGCCCCGCCCCCCGCCCCGCCCCCGCCTAGAGGGGGCGCGGGCGCGGGGGCGGGGGGGCTGCGCGCCCGGCCCCCGCCGCCCGCGCCCGCCGCCATGCTGAACAGCGCCTCCGGGTCGCACACGAACTTGTACACGTAGCGTTCACCTAAACAAGCGATGAGGGAGTGTTTTAAGTTTCCGAAGTCAAACTAGATGTCGCTACGGTACGTTCTTAATTTCTTCATGACCCTAACGGTTTTCTTTCACGTATAAAAGTAAATTAGTTTTCAAAACTCAATAAACAACTCGTATTCTATTTGTATTGATATCTAAGTTTCGAACTTTGCAAATTTCAGTTTCTCTATATATTAGTTAAAAGGAACGGAATGATTATCTTTGGTCTATTCGTTTCCTGCAAAAATCAACTTTTACTAGAGTCGCCATCTAGTGGAGGTGCTTTTTTGGTGCTTTCTTTTCTAATTTGATTTCGGGAACTAATCTTTTTTTTAAATAGTATACTTGTAAGCATATGACGTTCAAAATATATGATTATAAGTTGCTTTAGTTTGTTAATCTCACCAGCTACTTTCTGCATGATGCCTTTCTCATAGTAATACCGCAGAGACCTGGACAGTTTGTCGTAGTTCATGGCTGGTCTATTCTTTTGTGCGCCCCATCGTCTCGCTACCTGCGCCGTACACATTATTAGCAGCAAGGAAAAACAACATACAGCTTGAAGTCTTTGCTTGGTTAGTGCCTGATACTCTTCAAATACCTTATCATTTTAAATTTGTTTAAAGCCATCTCATAATATAGTCAAAAATATATATTCAGAAAAATGAAGTTAAACAAATCCATATTGATATTATGAAGTCGCTACACTTATTTAATTTTTGTTTAGTTTTTGGTGTTAGGCATGCAGTTGAGTGCCTTATTTTGCATTACAGCACATAGTTAATTATAAAATTCTCACACAGACCTGTTTAAAATCCAAAATTATTAAAAAATATGAACTTGTTAGTAGTTGTATGAAATGAAAATATCTTTAATCAAAAAAGCTTGTTACAAGCACTTTGAATCGTCCAAAACATTTTTTCCCCTACTACTCGTTCAGGACGTCTTTTAGCTGACAAGAAGAACAAGCGAAAGAAACTTACCAACTCATTATCATAAGTAATGACATTTACATAAATCATGTCATTACAAAATAATAAGTATTATCACAAAAATAAATACAACTTTCAAAGTCTGTACATATAATTAGAGCAAAGCGAAGGCTATTAATTCCATGCGCGTTCGTATGATACCTCTTCAGGTTCGTGCAGTTTGAACTCTAGCCCCCTCCCGGTCCAGGCGACGCAGCGCGCGCCCTCCGCCAGCAGCGACACCAGGAACTGCCACAGCTGCAGCGCGCCGCGCCGCCCGCCGCCACCTGGACGATGACAACGACTCAATTTAATCTGGAGAGACTTCTTCTCATAATGCAAGAAATCAAAAATCAAAGAGCGAGATAGAGACAACGAGAGAGCTGGAAGAAATGGAAAAGACAAAGATGGAGAGAGAGCAACAAAATACGACGATTTTCTGCCTTTGTCATCGCCGAGGGTTTACAAAAGACAGGGTTAAAGAACACATAGCAGCTGTCAGAAACCGTCAGTCGAGTAAGTCTGCCATTGCGGAACACCTACTGGAAAGTTGCACAAATCACTGACTCTAGTTTTCCTGTACGCAAGTCCTTTCCATTTTTAATCAAGAGTAGTGCGTGAAGCGATTGAAATTAAGAAACACCCTAATAACTTCAATGGGAGAGACGGATATAAATTGTCACAGGCGTTGTACTAAAACGCAAACTCTTTTTCGCAATCGGTAAATCTTCAGAAAACGGCTCATGTGCGGAATAGGGACACCTTAGTGTTGTTTGAGACGGTAGTTGGATGAAAAATCTGAGGGTGGAAGAAGATTCATCCTCGGATGCAGAAGTGTAGATTGGCTGCTCTAGTCTCGTCGTAACTCGGCCGAAACGTCGGCGCAGGTCAGTGTAAAGTCGCGTCTAATAGCGCGATGAATAATAAAGTCTAAGGTCCGGCCCCGAGCCTGATTCACGTCATTACTGCAGGAGCTTAGGCCTTCCTTATGGATAGTTAAGGGAGATGGCTCTACTCTCGCCCAATGCGTTTTGGAGGGTATCAAGGACTGTTAATGCAGCCGGGCCAACGTCTTAACATGCTTGCCGATACACGGAGTAGCTCGAGATAATATTTTATTTGATCTCCCATACAATGCTTAATAACTCCATCGCGACCGCGGCACGTATCCACTACACCACCGAGCCTAATGCCGACGAATTTATAAAGTGGTGTGTAGTGCTCATTAAAAAATCTATCTTACCTTCATACGTCTTTATTTATAAGGGACTCTGGCCTGAAAGAATAGTATGGTAACAATTTGATTGCCTGCGTGTGTGGTGGTCACATGCTGATGTGGTGAAGCGGCGTCGCTCCTGGCCGCTGTCGAACTGCACGGAGAACTGCTCACTGCACAGAAACCATCATTAGCCTATTAATATACCCCGACGTCGTCGATTCTTCTGCACAGACATATTTTGCTACTACTCATAATAATGTTATGTTATGTGAGCGCAGCGGCGTGATGTTGTATCTGTTTGTTGTAAGATGGCGTTATGCGCCGCTGACTCGCGCTAACACATCGGAAGAAAGAGACAATTACTGGGGAAGAAAGGGACGGTTAGCCGGAAGTTTTTGGTAATGCCTCGAACATACCGGTAGGGCCGAGGCCAGCCTGGAATATTCTAGGTCCTAACCTAGAACATTCTAGATGCTAGTAGAGTCTTACCTCGTCCTCTATAAATACGAGGTGGGCTATTCGTGCCGGCAGTCTTTTAATTACCAGTGAACTAAATACGACAGTGGATCGAATTGAAAGCAAAGCTCGAAAGGAGAACTAGTGATGTGAATAGTGTTGTGGAACAAAAGTAGTGACGTGAATACTGAAAGTGAAGTGTGTATTTTGTTGTTACATTTATTTTTATTAATTAAATAAAGAATCGGTCTATGAACTATAGATTTCATTAATTTTTATCTCGAACCATAGCACGTAACGCTACCAAAGGCTTTATCTTGCTCTCTTCTGCACATACGAATTATTAATACTGCACCTAGTTTTTCATCCCAGTGGTGCAGCTCCCCGGTACTGGTGACTGTCTCCTCCCTGGTATCTCGTGGTTCTTCCGACGTCTCTTCGACACATTTACCGTAACTCGTATATCTATGAAAATACCATTAGTATTGAAACATAATGTTATCAGGTAAACATTAAGTAATCTAAAATCTATCCTTTGTGTAGCTATAACATAGGATAGGAATTTGCCATGTCTTTTGGTAAGTACACCACTAACGACCAGTCGCTCGATCAATTGCAGAATTTTATTATTGAACATTACGTGTCATTATCTGTGCAAATTTTCAAATTTATACTATTCAATAGAGATTGTAGTTTTTATTAAAATGTACTTAAATGCCCTCTTTAAAGAACTAGAGATATACATCTAGTTATAACTAATATATTATGTTTAAAAGGGGCTAATATTGTCGAAGCTCTACGTTGAAGTTCCGGCATCGATATACGGATTTCGTCTTCAGGAACTGACTTCAGGATTGAGTTTATTAAAACATATTACATTATACATTTTCTATAAGAATGGCGATAGAACGCATTCGTTTTTATTTAAAACGAACACGAATTGGATTTGAAAGTAGCTTTAGACTTCGAAAAGGTCAGTGAGCAATCCCTAAGCAGAGATAATAGATTTGTACCTAGAGTAACGTATGCGGCCGTTACAATATTATTTCGGGTATGTTCCGATATACACTGCGACCACTGAACAGTATGACGTCAATGTAGTATACTGGAAGCCCGTTCCTTTATAGCTAGTTGGCTTTTTAAAACGGAACGCAGTCCAGTATACTGTTAATCCTATTTTTGGCGCCATTTTCAAATTTGTTAATGCAAGGTGAATATAAATATAAAGATTCCCTCTTTTCAAAAGAAAATATTATAAAATTGGAAAATTGTATAAAAAAATTATTTATCAATCAAATCCATCTTATAATAAACGTAAGTATTTTATTTTATCTGTTTCGACTGATCACATGGTCAAAAGCACTGCGAGCACTGCACCTCGAAATCTCCAGTGCTCACAGTACAAATATGGCGGCAATTCATGACGTCATAAATTTCCCCAGGGTACTGTAGCAGTGTACTGGCAGTCCATAACGGAACGGATTTTTCAGCAGTAAGACCACTGCACAGTGCTCGCAGTGTATATCGGAACATACCCTTCATTAACTACTTCCCTATAGGTTCATAGAATAAATTTGGAATCGGACAGGGAGTATCTGACATTGTCTATCTATCTATCTACGATGCCGGCCCAGTGCGCATTATAGGTGTTAACGATTGCACACGCACGAGGGACTAACAACGTGACTTCCGAAGCACGAAGAAGCTCGAGATAGTAAATTTTCGGTCACCCATCCTATGACTGGCCTTTGCAAAATTGCATAACCTCCGCATTGCAGGTCGAATCGAGGTCAAGATACTTATGAATCTTACTGCGCGTGATGCGTGTCGTGCAGCGTGGTGTGGTGTCTATTGTACAGATGCGTGTGTGCCGGCGTGTGCGTCTCGTACGGGGACTGGTCGCGTCGTCCCGGTCCCGAGTCCCTGAGTACATAAAAAAAGGCAAGACTGTTTCTAATACAATATCGATCCTGTTACTGATACCGATATCGATCGAACCCGATACCGACATCGATCGATCCCGATACAGATATCGATCGACACCGATACCGTGCTTTTTTTGACATTTTCAATCGCGAATAACTTTATCGGTTAAACTTTATTAATTAATTTGTGCTTAAAATAAGTATATCTTTCGATTACTGAGGTAATGTTTAATTTTTAAATTTTCACCGCCGTGACGGGGTGGCATACACCCCCAGGGTAAAAGCGCATATCGGCACTAAGTCGGGTTTGTTATTTTTATCATTTTAAAGCTACTGTTTTACAGAAAACGGAGGCGGATCAGTTGAATGACTGCACTATTAGCAAGTTCTGCCTATTTATTGAATTATTCAGCTGTTTCGAAGCCAATGCAAACAAACGAACAGTCAAATCTTTTCTCTTTATTACACTAGTATAGTTGAGTGTTACGTTACCTGTGGTGGTAGTGCAGGCCCCAAGGCAGTGTGTACGGGGGCTGCTGAGCCATCAGTGCATCACCGCACCGCACCTTAAAGGGAAAAATCTCAATCTGACATTTGAAAGATATGCACAAACTTTACGCGACAACTATTTGACACGTTATAGCGATGTTTTGCAAAATACGTTGAATGGACACTATCGCTAATTGGAATTCAAAAATTTCTAACTTTAAGTTGCTTAGTTATGTTTCTTGACCATTCAAATAATCATTCGTTTAAAAGCGAATTCTACGTTATATAATTCTATAAATCGCTACCACAACCGCTATACTTTTGAAAGGAACTGCAATTGATGTTGGAATTAGACAATAAGCCCACAAGCTTGGGATGCCGTGGGAGAATAATGGCAGAGACTCCGGCGGCGTCACCAATTAACACGTGACGGATTCTATTACATGTAGCGCACCTACTCTACCTCGAT